AAAGTAAACTTAAGGTTAATAATTTCACATTTTTGGAAGGGGGAGGGCTTTTTGGTCACAGGAAAGATACATTTCTATCATCTATATTACTATTTTAAGGTAGATCGCGGGTTTGCTGACGTCACAATAGGATTCGACGTAAAAAGCTTAATACATTTACAGTATCAAACTGCAAACAAGCATAAAGTATTTCCATCAGTATGCATCATAGAGTAAAACAAACATTAAGCTTGTTTTTTACTTGTATGTAGTAAAAAATAAAGGATTAATCAATAACTAATTAATACTAAATTAAATTAAGAGTTAACATAAAGTTAAAAAATGAAAGGTCAAAATTGATTCAAATAACATGACTGTGTTTCATTGAAAAAAGTGTGACAATTTAGGTAAATTATGACAATGTTTACATGAACATTTATTGTCAATCAATTAAAAATTGAAAATGCGGATAAACATGTTTTATTTTTAGTGAATTGTTGATTACATTGTAATTCTGAGAGGTACGAAAATAATGACGTCGCACTAACGTTATATAACGTCGTAATGAAATTATATACGTTTGTTACAAATTTGTAAAACTTTAAAGTTTTTTTTGCGAGAAAATTAGAGAGAAAACATATTAATTTTTTTTAATAGATCGATTCTAAATTTATCTCACATTCATTGTGTTGAGTAATATAAAATTCGTCTATTATAAGCATGGTTTTGGAAAAGGCGCATTTACTATATATTTCATTGTGATAGCGTCATTCTCATCAACATTAGTGCCTTTGAAATTAACAATATAACCACGCAGACGAATCTCACAAAAATTTCAGAAAGTAAAATTTGAAACGAGAGGATTCAGTTGACATATTTTCAGAGTATGTTTTCAGGTAGACCGTAAACCCGCGATCTACCTTAAGTCGAGTTTGCACTCAAAACAATGAGTTCTGAACTATGTTGATTTTTCTGAAGTTGTTTAATTTTTTACAGACAAGGAAATAGCTTAAGGACAAAATAACATTTTAACATACATATATTTGAAAAATGATTATTAAGGGTTTTTCCTGTTTCCTTTTGAGGTTTTTTTACATTGCAAATAAAGTAGAAAGATTCTTCCAGAGTATATGAGCTAGAAGTCAGGCAAACATCAGAGGGGGCTGTTAATTTGACTACACATACGAGGACAGAAATTAACGTATTTTTCATTTATTCATGTTTGAAAACTGAAATTTGATTGGTGAAAAAGGTAATCGCATATACGTACTCAGAAATTTCTACTTAGTTCATGTCTATCCCTTCTGCCCTGAAAGAAAAAACTTTGTTGTATCATTATAATATTTATGTTGAATGATTTTGCTCAGACTAATTGCTTTATATATACATTATGTATTTTACGGTATGTGTTATAGTTGTCCTATAGTATGCTGTGTTGTGTCCACTGATGCGCATTGATAGACCCGTATACAGTGGTGTTGCAACCACTATTAAAATAACGACCACTGTTGAAATAATTATTTCTACAGTGGTTAAGAGTGTATTTCAATAACAAACATAGGTTGGAACCGCTATTGAAATACGACCACTATTGAAATAATTATTTCAATAGTGGTTGAGAGTCCATTTCAATAACAAGCATAGGTTGGAACCACTATTGAAATACGACCACTATTGAAATACATGTAATTATTTCAATAGTATACAATTATTGCTGTTTTTGAGGTCAATACAATGATTTAACCATCTGAGGAGTACAATATTCATCAAGCCCAAAGGGCGAGGTGAATATTGTACTTCAAAGATGGTTAAATCATTGTATTTACCGAAAAACAGCAATAATCGTTTTATTGTATGATTCACTGATAAATAAAAATCATACAGCTCATTACTTGTTTGCATTTAATTAAGTCCTAGCCAAATTCAAGAGAGAAGCAGAATTAAAATGTAAATAAACCTTACCAGTCGTATCTATTTGAATTTTTTTTTTAATATATTTTAGTTGCCATGAAAAAATATATAATGGCAGTCTGTTTTTATAGAATAGATTTTGAAAGGAAGGAGTATTATCAGGGAAAACTGACAGCCGAAAAAAGTAAAAAATTGTTGTTCAGTAAAAGTGTTGGAGGGGGGTCTCTGCATCCCCTCTAACCACCCTCACCCGAAAATATATATATATATATTCGCTTATGTTTTGTCGTTTGAATAGCTTTCCAAAACAATTTGTATCAATTTGGAATTTTCCGATCTCTTTTTTAGATCAATGTAGAGGAAATAAATCCTTGTATTCACCTGGAACGCCACGTGCAGGTAAATATAACGTTGTATTTCTTCCACATAGTTATATCTCAGCCAATCAGAAAGATAGGAATTATTCAATCATGTAATAATGGTTGATAGTCCATTTCAATAACAACCATAGGTTGCAACCACTATTGAAATACGACCACTATTGAAATAATGTACTAAAATTGTTGATATATTTAGTTTCTGGTGTATCTTTCTTAATTAATTTATTGTCTGCTGGTTTTCGCCGAGTTGGTCAGATTCAGCGGAAGCGTGTTTAAAACATAAAGGTAGGTCAGTTTAATTTGAAAAAAAGAAGTGTCTGTGTATTAATTGAAATTTCTACCGAAAAAAGAAAAAGAAAAAGAAGATAGAAAACATAAAACAACTTAAGTTATCACATTTTAAACTCAATAAATGAGTTTATTGTGTCTGAAAACAGAATGTGTAATTCAGCCTTATATTTGTTTTAATAGTTGGGATATTTCTATAAAGCTTGCAATGTGGTTTTGGTATTGAAATCATTGTCAGCAACTGTTAAAATAATTATTTTAATATATATTGGAATCATTGTTTAAAGCACTATTGAAATCAATATTTTAATCCATATTGAAATCTTTATTTCAAAAGTGAACATTATTTCAAAAGTGGTTGTATTTCAGTAGCGGTTACTACAATGTACCTGTGTTTTGTATTGAAATGCACTCTCACCCACTATTGAAATAATTATTTCCATAGTGGTCGTATTTCAATAGTGGTTGCAACCTACATTTGTTATTGAAATGGACTCTCAACCACTATTGAAATAATTATTTCAATAGTGGTTGCAACCTACGTTTCTTATTGAAATGCACTCCTAACCACTATTGAAATAATCATTTCAATAGTGGTCGTTATATCAATAGTGGTTGCAACAAAGCGGGCAGCCAGGGGCTGGAAAGGTTGATCTACTTTTTCAGAATTTAGTCTTTTTCTGTTATAAAATATGTAATTTTTCATTTAAATGCCCCTCCTCCCCCCTTTGTTGTTGTAAAACGAAACACTGGTGAATTACAGCATAAAATGTACTGAAATGTTAGGCTTTAAAGTTCTAACAACAAAAAAAGGGGGGATTTGGACAGTGTAGTTTTTAGCTCACCTGAGCTAAAAGCTCAAATGATCTTTTCTGATCACCCGGTGTCCGGTGTAAGGACGACGACCACTTGCCGGTGGAGAGCTGCAAATGTCTTATGCTCGGCACTTAGGGCCATTTTCATTGAGCAGTTAGGAATTAATCTTTTTCGTGCCAGCACCTACTGCGACACGGGGCCTCGGTTCATACTGTCTCATCCGAAGGACCGGTCTCCGCGTCCCAAAGTGAGATTCGAACCCCCGACGTAAGGATCAACTCATTACTGAACGCGACTCTATATAGCAGACGCCCTAACAACTGCGCCACGCGGGCGACTGCAAATATACGGTGGTGTCATTAAAAATTCTTCTCAAGTTTGGCAAGAACCACTGGGCCAGAAAAGCGGAAAAACTTCCCGAGGAAGACTAGATTATTTAAAATATTTCAAATCTTGGTCCCAAGGGCTAGGATGGAGCCACATACATGTATAGGACAGAGTCTAATTTCAACAATATAGGAAACTTCTTGAGAACCACCTTGCCAGAATAGATCAACTTATATATAGTTTACTGGGCCACTGCATGGGCCAGAAAAAGGTGAAATGTATGTGGAATTAGGCATCCTGGGGGTAGTACGTGTAGATTCAAAAATGTTGAAATCATAGCCCCCGGGGCTAGGGTATGGGCACAAGCGGAAAATCTAGTGACCGTTGTGGCCCATGTGTCTCTTGATTTTGCTTTTCAAATGTTTATTCCTCCCCCACTCACCCCAGATCTACCACTTTAATAACCTTCCTAATGCCCTGTAAGGCAACATAAAATACTGAATATAAAATATTTTAGCATATATCCCCCTTTTATAAATTTATAATTTTTTTCTTGACATTTTTAAAAAATATTTAATGGCCTATTTATAGTATCAGAGTGTGCATGGTGAGACACGCGTGACATTTTATGAAAAAAAATAATGTTAGTTTCTCGTTGAAAGTTTAAATATGTCTTATAACGAGGAGAAAAATTCAACTCTTTCTATTTATCTATAACAAAAATAATTACATGCAATAATAAAGCAGCTATGTGCATAAAAGTCAAATATCCATCGATTCATCTGACCAGGCAAACGATGGAGTTACGTCCCTTATTGACACTCTTCAGTATCGTAAAAAAGTAGATCGTGTTAACGGTGTTTACATTGATTTCAGCAATTTCTCAATGTTTGACAAATTTTAACAGATTAAGGTAAGTGATTCGATAACAGTTTGTCTGTCCATTAGAATTAGGGTTTCTTTTAAATATGACACCGAAAATAGTTCTGTTTTCCGTACATTTATGAAGGATTTGCGTCAAATTGTGTTCGAGATTAAAGTTTTGCCCTACATCTGGATAATATCTCGTATACTAGATATTGAACTGACATGATTATGTTCTTAAAAATATTTTATATCAGTGGAGGGTGAATCAAATGTCTTGTCACGTGTACATTTTCTATATTGTGTAATATGACTGAGATTTTAATTGTAACATATTCCCCGTGTAATGTTTACCTTGTTTTGTTTATACGTGATGATTCATTCAACCATTTCCTATCTAGCCATTCCCATGTATTTACTATTGAAGCATGTTTACAGAGCAAAAGAAGTCAAAACGGCAACAAAAATAAATAAACAGATAGAGAAATAATAGGCAGAAGAAATGATATAAAGAAAATTCTCCATAACAAGATTTTTGGTATTTGAGTCCATGTGTACTTAACCAGTTGATCAGCTGTATACAGTATGTACATCTATAAATAAGTAGGTCATAATAACTTCACTGTCTTCTTGATTGAGATTTACCAGTCTTTTACCATGTTAAGTAACTGTAAGTTTCTTTTAACATTGTCTCATGTAAGTTTCTTTGAACATTGTGTCTTGTAAGATTTTTAATATTACCTTAAAAAATAACAATATAATCATGATTAAGTAAGTAAATTTGATTTAAAGGTGGCATTTTGTAAACAGATAACAATTAACATGAGCTCTGTAGAGCTCTTAAACTGACTATCACAGCTAAAACTATCACAGAAATAATATTATAAACATAATATAGACCTATTGCTTGTACTACAGCTTTACCTGTTTACAGTGTGTTATACATTGTACATCATGTAGATTTCTGCAAAGTCTCATATAAATATTTTAGTCTTTAACATTCTTATGCTCCACACTGATTAACAATTGATTTATAATTACCCATAACTTGTACACAGTGGGGCCAATTAATTTTTATTCTTTATTTCTTATATGCAAGGGAGCCAAAATTGCTGTAATGAAAAAAAAAGATTTGTCATCTAAAACCCTTAAATCTCTTTAAAGGAAGTATTTACTTCTCCTGCAGGTATTGAAATCCTAGAATAATGCTAGTTAAACCAGTCTGGTGAGCCAGTTAACACCTACTGAATATGTAGCTTAATTACAATAATTAAAACAGGAGGTTAAATTAAATATGTAAGCATACACTTAATATTAAATACGTTGTATATAACTGCAAACAAGAATTATGATAACCTTTATCTGTTTGTGTTGGAAATGTGTTAGCAACCGTTGAAACACTTTTCTATTATTATGGCAAAATTGGATCCTCACCTTGAGAAGTGCTAAGTTGTATTATGACAGTACTGTAGGATTTGGTCTTTTTCACTTTAAACTTGGTCAGTGAAGGATTGCAAGGTAGTACCATTCCTTTTGTATATAAAATAATCATTGAGACATGTAAATTAAATCAAACAAAGTATGTTATAGTCCATGAGCCAATGGGGGTGGCGGTACCATTTTGGGTGAATAAACTTTATAGTGATATTTGGTAAGGAATACCCCTAACTAGTGAGAAAAATGTATGATAGCATCAAATCCGTTGTGGCTCCAATGCTGGAGACACAGTTATTGCCCTTTATTTGCTCAAATTAGGTATTTTTAGCCAAACATATTTGTAACCTGCAAAGCATTTGTCACACAGTTGCCAACCGTGATAGAAAGTTCTACCAGAATTACTCAGATATATGAGGAACACATTAAAAGAGCATTTACTGAGTTACTAGCCGTGATTCTAACAAAAATTGCATATTTTTACCACTTTTATTCAACAATTACATGTACCTCATAAATTTGTATAACTATAAAGATAATTACCAACGCACATTAACTAGTTTAGTTATTCGTCCGTCGGTGACGACAATGACCATTGTCTCATCTTCTGGGGGAGGGGGTTGACCTGGACAGTGGGTGCGGAGGTGACTAGTCAATCCGATCCTTGCACAAGCAGATGAAGGAGTTTTTCGACTAGAGCCATGCCCCCTTCTTTGTAAATCTCAGCTCGGATGGAGTATCCGCCAGGTGTTTTGCCAGTTGACAGCAGACTTATTGCTTTCTTGATCTCATCCAACGTGGGAACGGCGTCCAGTGACTACATGTAGTTGATGGGAACCTGGGCAGTTGGTTGATGGCTTCATAGTTGATGGTAGATGGGCAGTTCAGAACGCCACTGAAATGTTCCGCCCACCTGTCGAGTATCTTTTCCTTTTCTGTGATGAGTGTTAACCCGTCATCACTGAGGAGAGGGGATGAACCTGAAGGAGTTGGCCCGTAGACTTCCCCCAGTCCACAGTAAAAGTTCTTCCTGTCATGAGATTCGGCGTAATGTTGGATCTCAGCTTTGGCATTCAGCCAGGAGTCTTGCATATCCCGAAGCTATTGCTATACTGTGCTGCGCGTGTTCTTCAGAGCGTCTTTTTGGCTGTTGAGGTGGGATCATCTGAATGAGCTTTGTACATTTAAGCGCAATTTTTGTCCTTTAGAAGCTGTGTGATCTCGACACAGTTCTCATCAAACCAGTCTTTGTGTTTTTTGTGGAGGGCCCAAGACACTCAAAGGCTGTATTGTACACTGTATTACGAAGTGTGCTCCATGCTGCTTCCATTTCGTGGTCATCCAGCACGGTGGATTTCAGGCGTTCATCCAGGGTGTCAGCAAAGTACTAAGAGGTGGAAGGAAACTTGAGCTTGCCAATGTTGATACGTTTTGAAGCCTTAGTCCCCTGAGTACGTATCCTGAGTTTGATGCGGAGGTTGAGAGTTGAAGTTTAGAATCTATCCAGCACTCCGCGCCGCACATAACCTTGGTGAACAAATGAACTTTCTGTCTGTCTCTCTCCCTGACGATGACGTAGTCAATGAGATGCCAGTGCTTTCAGCGAGAGTGCATCCATGACGTATTGTTACGGATGGGAACAGAAAACGGTGTTAGTGATGAGAAGGCCATGTTCAGCTTAGGTCTGGAGAAGCAACAAGCCGTTACTGTTGCACTTGCCCACTCCTTGCTTCCCAATCACACCTTCCCCGGTGGTGGTGTCACGTCCAACTCTCGCATTAAAGTCATCAAGAATGACGAGCTTGTCTGCGTTGGGGACGGTGTTGATGACATTGTGGAGGTTCTCATAGAACTTGTTTTAGCCTCCTCTGGGTTAGTCAGGCGAACTTTCCTCGAGTGAGGGGGTCTCATCGTCATCAGGCGGTCGTTTACTCCTTTGGGTACGCCGACTATCTTGCCAGCAAGTGTCAAAGCCTACGCCAGCATCTCGTCTCTCCTTGGCTCCTTATCCTCTCCAAAAGAAGGTGTAGCCAGCGCCTCTTTCACACAGTACACCTTCTCCATCCTTTTTGGTTTCACTGAGAGCCGCGATGTCGATGTTATATCTCGTGAGTTCGCATGCGATCATTGTTATGCGTCTCTGGGGTATGTCTGTAATGTCTCTGTTGAAAAGCATTTGAACGTTCCACGATCCAATGTACAGTGGGATGATCCTTGTTTTCTTCTTGTTCTCTTTGTTATTTCGACCGCATGTGTAGGGTCCCCATCAGCCGCGGTAAACTGGCTACTGGCTAGAGAAGGGTGGAGCAGGCAATGTTTGGGATACCTTTTCTAATCTCTTGCCATGGAGGTGAGCAGTGCGTTCCTAAAGAGGGCTGCTCAGTCGTGCAGGTGGCTACCAAACTCCAACACTGCTCCGGTCGGTGAAGAGCGACCCTACGTCTTGTGTGCAGGTCGGCTACTAGCGACTTCCATTGAACCCGCACCTGTCACCTTCGTTCCTGGCCTGTCGCCACAGGGCTTTGGGGTGGATGATAGAAGGGATGGAAGATGGTCAATGACTTGTAAGATGAGTTTGATTAAAATGAAGAAGGATTGCGCTTCACCGACCTCACTCTCTCGCCCGCAACCATCTAGATCCAGTGGCAAGACATGTTAGGACGTCTGGAGATGGAGACGGATGACCAAGACGTGCTATATGTACCTTGCCTTGCTCAAAGCATTCCATGGTGCGTACTGTGTCTGCCATCTTCTCAGTTGAACCATGACGGTTTCCTCCACGGAGTCTGCCTGTGCACAGTCTTTACATCCGTTATAGGTAGGCAAGCCCCTAATTAACAGGGTTTGAGACCCGTCAGTGCTTTATGTAGAGAGTGCTCTCCTAGAGGGATCTCCCTTAAGAGGGTACGGGTTCTCTTTACCCGGACTAGTTTATGGAAGGGGCTTCAGATCATTGCAGGTCGTGAGACACTGCCCTCTGCCCACAAAGCATATAATTATATATTGGAACAAATGATTGTGCACAAATGTTGCTTAATTTTGATGTCAAAAATATATGACAAATTACACGTTTAACTAAGATGAACATACAGGTATCCATTATACCAAGGTCTAGCTTGAGATTAAATAAATAAAACATTTTACGTAAACGCTCTACTTGAGACAAGACGTATTCACAATATCTATGTTAAGTAACGAATATACCCAGAGCTAGGGTAAATCAAGGGGATTTTTCTTCAATTTTCATTTTTAGGATAGGGATAAAGATTTACTACAAAATCAAGTTATATATATTTGTTACTGAAATAATGTTTTAAAATGCTAATACGTGATAAATATTCTTTAAAGAAAATGACCATCCAGTACGTTTTTGATGTGAAAATTGTCGCAGTAGTAATTTCTTTCAGCTGATTAAAATTTCAAAATCGCATTTTCCACTTTTATGATCAAGGGCAGAATTATATTCCTATATAATTTAGGCGGCTCATTACAGAGCCAATATTGAATGATAATTCAAAAGGGTAACAGCATGGTCTGCGTTCAGAAGAATTTTCAAGAAAATATCATTCGAAATAAGATAGAAATTGCGTATTGAAAAACCAACCTTCTTCTTTCAAAGACACAGCTAAGAGAACGAACAAGTTGGGATAGTGTATACAAACGGTTGATACACCATTAAAGCCACAATCAATTAAATGCTATCATACATTTTCTGAAGGTAGAAATGTATGTCCTTCAAAAAGTAACTATGAAAATTATTCACCCAAGATGGTACCGATACCGAGAAATTCATGGCCTGGCTCATGGACTATTATTGGTTCCATATTGGGCAGCACATATATGTACATCACAGTACATGTATTCAATTGCATGCAAGCAATGTAAAATACATACCTCTAGTCTGAAAATATGATAAGTACTGTACATGTATTTAAATCGATCAACAAATTTTTGTGACACTTTATTTTCAAAAGGAAGTTGTTTGACATTTATTTCATATAATCTTTTTACAATTAAAAAGAGTAATTTAGCAAGAATTTAATTTTTCCTCTTCATACAGTTGATAATATTTATACTCCAGAGTACTTTCAAGTTAAAAGTGATTTATCATGTTTATAATACAAAGCTTCATTCACGTCACAAAATATAGGTCACTTTTGTGAAATATAGGTCACTTTTGGCATTCAAACACGATTTCATACAACCACAAAGGTTGGGGGCTGAATTCTCTTTAGAATGGACATAATTCAGTGGCGAATCCAGAGTGGGGGTTACGGGGGTTGCAACCCCCCCTTTGGATTTGCAAAAAAGACAGAGAAATAAGAAAGTTCTAATTTTTTTGTTGTGTTTTTACTATAGAAAAAGTAAGGTGAAAGGCTAATGTTGAAATATATAAAGAAATTCGGTTGTAAAAACAAAATAAAACCCCATCCCTTTACAAAATAGGATTTTCAGGTTCGGAGATTTATTTTCCTTTCTTTTTCAAAAACTTTTTGGTAATGTATACAAGTACTTTTTCCCAGATTGATCAACGTCCCACTTTCAAAAACCATACTCCACCCTGTATCGATATTCTATTGAGTTATTTTACCATATGTATGTGTACAACGTACGTTTTAACTGTTTTCGCCTTCAACCCCCTTTTGAAAAATACTTCAACCCCCCCTTTGAAAAATTTCTGGATCCGCGCCTGTATGCCCTGTAATTCAGAAATACAAATCAAATATACATTGTATACATCTGAAAAATTTACAGTGAACCTGAACATCTACATCATTTATAATTCTTTTACCATGCATGATAACACCATCCTGACAAATTGATGGATATTAAAAGGAGTAATAGCTTCCTTGAATGAATCTGCAGTAGGTTTAAACCTGAATATTTAATTTTGAAATACAAAGTTTATCTTTTTTTTTGACTGCATTTATTTATTGAGCATACAAATGCTGCCCTCTTATATGTTTAAATGTTTTTAAAATGCTTCATTAATACCTACACCACATTCCAGAATCAAAAACATGAACATGATGAAGTTATTTTGAAGTCTTAAGCTATCAAGAATTGGATTTTAAATTGCTTTTACTAAGACCATTTTCTAAAACTTGTTTGAAGATGACCAAGGTAGTATATTGAACAAGTATTTTCATTTTTGTAATATATTCTTTTTCAAAAGCAAGTATGTGATAGGTCTTGTACTTTAAAATTTCACAGTGTTTTGTACTATTCACAAAAACACCCCAGCTCAAACTTATATATTATGTAAAACTGAAATAATTTAATTTCAGTTGTAACACGTCATTTGATTGGTTAAACAGTTTTATCCATTTTATATAACATAACTTGCCTACGTCACAATGAGTTACGTCAAAAACGTATTACTCAGCTGGACGTTAACTTTTAAAATATGCTACATTTGAAGCCGTTTTCCGAAGGAAAAAAATGGAAAAATTGTATAATTGTCTACATTGAAATTAAATTATAAGGAATGAAGCTTATTTCAACTTATGTTATACGATATAACGTAACTTGGGGCAGTTTACACTTTTTTATAAACCGCTTCGCGGTTTATAAAGCGTAAACTGCCCCAAGTTATGTTATATCGTATAACATAAGTTGAAATAAGCTTCATTCCTTAAATAATAGAAAAGAAAAGCTTGAGCTGACTACTCAATAATAATCAATTGTGAACCAAAAAAAAAAACCCAATCTGATGTGCTTAAATACAATACAATTCAGGGATTACATGTTACTTTGATGTGAAAGATGTGCTGCCTGGCTATACATGTATGTGGGTTGGGTGGTTCAAATCCCATTGTAATCATGTGTATTGTGACAGTTTCAAATTAAATCTGAAAGATACAGATTTTGGCACTTATGTATAGCGAGATTATGAGAGATGGCTGTACCAGTGTGTAATATGTGAGTAAGGAACAAACTTCATTGACGGAAAGAAAGTATTTCCATAGAAAGGAATACATGATTAATTAACTATTAATTTGAAGTGTTTTTTTGCTGCGTTTGGTGCAGTTTGAAGGAAAAAGTGCTTGATCATTCACTTAGCGTGAGTAACTACACACGTGTCTAGAATAGGCAACAGCAAAAAAGCTTTTACCCATACTTGGGAGGGGAGAAAAGCTGAGCGTAGATTAGTCTCCACTAGGTGACATCTTGAGGTACTACAGAGAGCTGTTTTAAGCTAAATGATGCACTTTTGTGGTTATGACTAACGATTTAAATGACTATAGACGCACTGTTGAGAGAGATGATGTAAAGTGGGTTTCCTGCAATGTAGGACATATTTGATAACACTTTATAACATGAATGCAGCTGCCAAACAATCCTCATACGGCATTGATTTACATGACACATTTTTATAAGTGGATCGTATTTTCAGTTTTTTTTAATAATATATATATTTTTTTGGCACTTGTCAGGGACTAGCACTGATGACTAACAAACTAAAAACCCATTAAAGTTAATCGGAAAAATCACTTAAGAATAGATGGATCTGAAATGATTATGCTTGTCAATGAATGAAAGAGATAAATATAATGTGTAGCAAGGAATTGACACATTTCAAAGAAATACACCAGTTTCATATTTGGATATATTTTAATTACTAGAAAAGGTTGTTAATGGTAATCTAACAACCAAGCTTTCTGATAAATGTAATGACTTTAACTTTTCAAAGACAATCGTCATGCAACTTAATTTCCTTACTTATGCAGCAATATACCTATTTACACCTGCATAGGGGGGTTTATATCAAATGATTTTACTGCAACACAACTTGCAGAGACTGTCTTGTTTTCCTGCATGTTTTGAGCAAAATGCAGCTACATTTACCTCGGTACTAAGTACAACAAACACAGATTAGTTGACAGGCACCTGACAAAGTAACTGTTATAACACTAATTCATTGTGTTTACAATGTGAGTCCATTACAGCTCTTAAATTGAGGGACAGGAGAGATATCTGTAGTACTCTCATCATTACAAAGTCTAAGACGTAAAATGTCATTTGAGGGTGTTCAATTTTATGATTCATCAGAGCCTATGTATTTGCACTTTAAACCTAGATTTTATTTACTGGGTGTGTAGTGTGAATTCTGTGGTAACTGTTTCAACCTTAAAGTACCTTTTTCCTTAGACAGATGATTTGTTTTGGCTAGGTTTTCTTGGTCAAGGATTGTAAAATTTAACAACTCTTCACAGATAGGAGTGGGATACAGAAATGATTGGGACATTAAAATATGTACCTTGTTTTGAAATGTAATCTTTTGTAATTGTTTTACCTTCTTGCTGAAAACATCGTTAACTTGCTGTGATAAGTGGCAACTTGCAAGGTTTCCAGTTTGTAAGGGGTAGCTACTGTATTCTGACATCTTTGATTTTATTCCAGGATTTCGACCTTGACCTAGATAAGATGGATGCTGAGAGCGGGGGGTCAGCCCTCTCTAGTCCGTCTGACGTCACGATGTCTAACGAAGCAAGTCCACAGGCCTCCAAAATACAGGAGATCAAAGGTGTGTATTAGCTAGGATAATGAAAAAAAAAGAACAGCTACAGTAAAGCCTGCTTATGCCGAACATGCGTGGAATAAATTAGTACTTACAGCAAAGTTATTTTCATTCCCTGAACTTTTATTTATATACTGTAGATTGGGAAATATTCACGATGGTTTTAATTACGCTATGTTCGCGATTTATTAATTTTCCGCGAAATAAAATCCATCGTGAATGTTAGTATTATTTTTTAATTATGTTAAATTGGTATAGGAAATTTTGAATTAATTTCTTGCAGCGTGAAATTAAAACCATCGCAAATGGTACTTTTTGAGATATCGTGAAATTTTAACACCGTGGAATTAAACCAATTTACAGTAATAACAATTTTTACTTTTAAAATGAAGCAAAATTGCATGTAAATATTACTAGATGCATGTCATTGTTTGTTTACATGATTTATGTAACTTAGATAGTAAAGGAAATAAAATTATTAAAAAGTATAAATTCTTCGTCAACTTTATTGATGTATTAGTTAAAGTAAGATTTCTTCTTCCATTTATGCACATTTAGCAAAAAAATTAAGGATTGATTTTGGGTGAGTAATGTTTTCTGTGACATCCGGTCACAGTTTCACTACACTGTAAGTTAAATAGATTGAAGAGGATGAGAAAGAATCAAAACAATGATAGATTTAAGGTCCATTTAGGGCCAAATTTAAAAAAAAATAAAATATAGAACTGACTTTTAATTGAGTACATTGTACATGTGTATATAGATAATAAGAATTCTAAATGGCTAGATTATTTACATGGGTCTAAAAGTCTGTAAGGAAAATGTGCAAAAATGCAATTTAAAAAAAAAAAGTTTATTTAATATGATTATTTTGATTTTATTTTTATATTAACATATGTTAATCAACCACACAACAGAAAAAAGATTGATTTAAATAAACAACAGGAAAATATAGATATCATTGACATAATTTTCATCATTTTTTGGAAGTGAACTGACTCTAAAATAAATGCATGTTTCTAAAGTTTTGGAAATAAATTTGTCCTGATTCATGAAAAACTAACTAAGAGGAATGGGTGTCATACGGCAATAAACAAGGAATGCCAAATGAATAAAAATGATTTTTTTACCTTCAAATCATTTGATTGATCAGTGTTTGTGATTTAACATTTGTGGAAAAAAAATTCTAGATGAGTTATGCATTATAGAAGTCACATGACCTGATCTGAAGAAAAAGATGTTTGTTAAATATAAAAAAGTAACACGGTGCACTTAGTAAAATACTTCCCTGTCGTACGTTTCCTCATCTTGGGCCTCCATCAATGTGTCATTCTCATTCTTATAACAGTCAAACTGGAGGATTTCATTGAAACAGCTTTGATCTGGTGAGACCAGCTACATGGAAGTTAACACATAAGGGAGTTCTAAATGGTCAAAATGTGCTCACTTTTTGTCTTCTTTTGCAGAGGAGGTCATGTGTAGTTTTGAATATGGAAATTTTAAGCCAGCTCATTTCTCATCAAGTTCAGAACCTGAGGAAAACATGGACTTTGTCTCGCAGAGTTCCCTGAAAGTTGACCCCTCCCCAAAACATTTCCTCAGCGACCCGGACCATATTACTGGACCCTGTAGCAGCAGTACTGATGTTGTCATAGCAACGAGCCCTAACTCAAGTAGTATGGACTCGTGTCAGGCGAGTCCGGACTCGGCCATGCAGAGGTCCCCCTCCTCCTCGGTGCCCCTCCTCCCTCCCTGTAGAGTCTGTGGGGAGAGGGCCTCGGGGTTCCATTACGGCGTCAACACCTGTGAGGCCTGTAAGGTGAGTCTTGTTTTCAAGTTCTTCAAGCGTTCAATGGTGAATTTGTAAAATGTTTTGTTATTGTTTTGTCAATAAACAAGAGTGCATGTGTTTCTCTATTCCATATCCTGGTTTTTAAAGATCTTTAACTAAATAGTATTGCTCAAAGGGACAAAAATGCAGACTTTATTAACATTGACTTCACTCTACTGCCCCCAAAATGTGGTGAATGAGAATGGGAAGTATAGACATAGCACTGACATAACACACTTGAGATGAAACTGGTATTGGTTTTGTTGAATTTAGTTTTACGAAGATGAAAATTCTTGATTAAATTTGACAACTCCACCAGTTTAGATAAAATAACCTGCACAATTATTTAGTTCTGAATCAGACCAGTAAGATGTTGGCCATCTGTTGTATGTGGACAGTTTCTAAAAAGACTTCGATCTTGTATAGTTCTGGTTTAATTTCAATGCATGGACCATGATGCACATGCAAATAGACAGCAGGAATTGAAGAAACAGATTGTTTTAGTTGGATAGGTGATGTTACCCTGGTTACCTCTAAAAATAGATCAATGTGGGAACATTTTAAAATGCTACTCCTCCAACAGTTTTAGTTTGTTTTCTATAAAACTAGGTCAAAAGAGATTACATGAGATAAATAATGTCTTCTGACATATGTTATAATGCATCATTTCATAAACTTTTCCATCATTTATTGATTTATTAAAGTTCAGAAAATATCAGTTAGAAATAAGAATTATTATGAAGGCTTAGGTACAAACATACACTTTATGATGGTAAATATAGAACTCAATCAGTTGAGTTTGGGTGAGGTCCTGACTTTGAGCATATTGAGTGTGAGCCTGACTGACAAGAGTCTAAGTATGATACAGTTTTGTCATTACCATGACTCCATTGACTGTGAGTGTCTTTTTATGTCCAAAGATTAAATTGGAAGAATGTACCTAATTAAATAGATTCAAAAAAAGACTCTATCCAACTGATGCCTTTTTCATTGATGATTTAGTGAGAAGGTTTTATGGATAAATTGTTTTCAAAGAGAAGTTTTGGCAGTAACAAATTCTTACTAGGATTCTGTAGTACTGTAGCTTAATAACTGCTTTTTGTTGGTCAATTTCCTTAACAATTGACCTACTTAAATGTGTTGGCCTCATTTCGTTTTAAGTCGCATAAAGAAATGTGAACGTTATCATTACATCTTACATGACAAATATTTAAAGTCAATATGTATGTGATCCAAAGTGTGGTTTCAATGTAATCTTAGATTAGAAGTAAGTTATAATATGGTAAGATGTCAAAATGTTACATTCTGTACAGTTAACTTGTTAATCATGTTTATTGGGAATCTCTCAGTGTCTGTCTGTTTGTCTAGCTGTTTGTCTGTCTGCAGAGAGTGAAAAATATCTACTTAAAATGGCAAAACAGCAAAAGAAACTACCATAATTGATCATGATAGATAGAGCATGTATGAATTCAGCATTTTTATACGCCCGTCTTAAGACGGGACGTATTATGTTATAGGCTTCATGTCCGTCCGTCTGTCCATCTGTAGAGAGTGAAACATATCTACTTATAATGGCACTAAACAGCAAAAGAAACTACCATAATAGATCATGATAGATAGAGCATGTATGAATTCAGCATTTTTATACGCCCGTCTTAAGACGGGACGTATTATGTTATAGGCTTCATGTCCGTCTGTCCGTCCGTCCGTCTGTCTAGCTGTCCATTCGTGTCCGGCTCATAACTTCAATACTATTAGGCCTAGGATTATCAAACTTTGTCAACTGATACTTCTTGGGTAGACGGTGTGTCGCGCGCAAAAAGTAGGTCGCTCTGACCTTTAATTAAGATGCTATGGCCAAATATGGAAAAATCCTGTCCGGCTCATAACTAGTAAACTATTAGACCTAGAACTATCAAACTTGGCAAATGTATACATCTTGGGTTTAAGGTGTGTCGCGACCTATTTCAAGGTCACTGAACCTTTAATTTAAGTGAAATTTTTTAAAAAACTAAGTCTTTTAAATTTTGAATTTCATAATCCTAAAAAATGTCAAAATGTAGTTGTATCCTTGTTTAAAAAGTGTTAAATGAAGAAAATACTTATTTTTTTCATCATATACTTGACAGCAATCTATAACAAATATAATGTATGTTAGAGAAATCCCATGTCTCCCATGAGTGTAATTATCAAGCACTGGTCAAGAGTTTTGATAACAGAAAATTGCATGTCAAATTAGAGAGAAATTAATGAGTTTAGTGTGAGGAGCTAACTGGAGAGCATCGGTGTTATCTATATCCCTTTGGGAATTGGGCAGATGGGTAAGCCTGTTGGATTAAAGATAGCTCTTGTTGGCTAGCCTAACTTTTAAAATGATTTTGATGAAAAGTAATTAACACTAATTTGATATTGCATAATAAACTAATCTGATATTATATAATATTATTAATTTAAAAAACTAATTTCATAGGGGTGGAATCAGCATGTCCATTTTCCATAGAAATCGCATATTAAAACCTTTCTGACATTAAATGTTAAAAAAAAAAATCATTGAGTATTTTATATGTTTTAAAAATATTTTATGGTAGATAGTGCAGATTCATTCATCTATAGTAATGAGTAGACAAGCATCCAGTCAAAGATTAATTACTGAGTTCAATTTAGGAAAGCTAGCTATCATCTTATTATCTGTATCCTTTGGGAATTAGACAGAAGAACTGCTGGTCAGTTTAAATAGCATATGTCATTTGATGGCCAGCCTTTTATTTTCAAAATTAATTTGGTATAGATTAAGTTGTTAAGACTAATTTGATATTGTTTAATATTATGGGCATTTGACAAGGTCTAATACAACCAGTATAGAAATCTATCAATGATGTAATTTGTTATGATTAATGCCTACACTACAGGGGATGGATAAACAAATATTTTAAGGAATAGAAAAAATCATGGAAAATTTAGAATCAAGGTTTACATGATTTTCTTGCACTCTATTAAAACTGTTTAAGTTTATTGTAATTTTTTGACGGGCGTATCATGCTGTGGCGTGGCACTTTATATTAGCATTAGATTCAAAGGTCTAAAAGATTTTAAGTTGTGAATTGAATGCTTATTACAGTGTACTATGTAATGTTTTTACCAATTTATTAAATTTAAGGAATATATTTTATTTTTTTTCTTTAGTACTTTTGAATGAGAAATGAATATTCTTTTCAAGCAGAATATTTCTTGTTATCTCTCCTTGTTACTAGAGTTTACTGATGTATGATTTCTTTTAACAGGGATTTTTTCGGAGAAGTTTAAGAAGACAGACAGAGTATAAATGTGTGAAGAGTGACAAGAGCTGTGTTATCGCCCCGGGAAAGAGAAATGGCTGCCCGCTATGTCGATATAATAAATGTCTGTCTGTGGGAATGTCCAAGGAAGGTAACTCAGTATTTCATTCTGATGTTATTTTTATAATAATAATATGCTCAAGGTTTTTTTTGTCCCTTGTAGTTTTTCAGCTTTTCACATTTGCAAATAAATTTTGTCCAATTTTATATTTGCCTATGCATAGCTGTGTTAGAGAGATTTGATAATACCCCCTTTGATTTTACCCTGTTTTAATTTTGACCATTTGTGGAGAGAGTGAAGGGGGAAAAATTCCTTATATCTATTTGATTGCTAGATAAAAGATAAAATGGATGGATCTTAAATTGTCATTTTCAGACAAAAAAGTAAATGAAGACATGTAGATGAATTTTAAAATCAAGTATGTTCAGTGATGTCAGTGAATGTCGCAGTACATTAATTGTTAATGTTAATTAAATGACTTGTTACAGCCATTAAGACTGGGAGGTACACTCATCAGAAGAGGACCCAGGATATCCGTGAAATCAAGCGGTTACAGAATCAGGTGGAAGTCAAGCAGGAAGTGGTGGTTCCCGCGGAGAAACCCCCCTCACCACCGGTGGTGAACGAAGAGTTCGAGAAACTGGCAGACTTTATCCACAGTGCTCAAAAGACAATGTATGGACCAGCTCTGGCCTTCTGGACCAATCCTAAGGCCATTTTAAAAGTGACCTCTGACTATGCTGTAAGTACAGCACAAAGAATTTTGATACCCAACAGTTTATATCAGCTTCTCACTTGTTGAACATAGTAAAATAGTTGACAGTCATGTATCACTTTTTAACCAGGGAATGCATGATATTGCAAGGGAAAATTAATTTTAGTATATATACCACCATTGTCTCAAGCCATGGTTTGGAGTCTGCTTATAGCCATCTCCTACCTGTGGCTGCTTGATCACATAAATTGTTGTAATCTTAAATATTAATGCCTGTATGCTTTGTCGTCATGTTCAGCCTATGATAATATTTGTTTCCATGCAATTGAAATTAACATCTGACATCATCAGTTAGCAAAAGTATATCCTAAACTGCGATTAGCTATTGAAAGGTCACGTCAGAGTTTATTCGCATTGGTCATTATTTTAATGACGTTCAAAATATTTTCCTTTCATTCAACCCCAGCCAGAATAGGAGAGGATCGTACATTTTGGCCGTGGTTTGCAATGATGATATACCACAGACTGATTTTTTGAAATTTTCAATATCATTGGATTAAAAATAAAGTCTTTTACACTGAAATGACAAACTGTGATATGGAATAGAAACATGGACGTAATTATTTTTTTGGTCCTTTTTAGGAGGCCTTTAAGTTGAAGTCTGAGATGTTTGGAGGTATGAACAACTTATCTAAGGAGGAATACCTCAACTTTTACCATCAGACGGGGATAGACGTGGACAATCGCATGTCACTGGTGTCAAACTTCGCTAACACCATGGAGAGGAACATCACCAAGTTTGTCGCCTTCACTAAAATGATTCCGGGATTTAATACACTACCTCTAGAAGACCAAGCCAGTCTGGTCAAATGTAAGTCTATCATGGGGCTTTATGAATCAGTGCACTACCTCTTGAAAACCAAGTCAGTCTGGTCAAATGTAGGTCATTTATTAGGCTTTTAGAATCAGTCTGAACATTTACAAACCTGTTTTTAGCTCACCTGAGCTGAAAGCTCAAGTGAGCTTTTCTGATCACCCGGTGTCCGTCGTCCGTCCGTCCGTCCGTCCGTCCGTCCGTCTGTCCGTCCGTCCGTCCGTCTGTAAACTTTTCACATTTTCAACTTCTTCTCAAGAACCACTGGGCCAATTTTAACCAAACTTAGTACAAAGCATCCTTGGGTGAAGGGGAATTTAAATTGTTAAAATCAAGGGCCAAGACCCCTTCCAAGGGGAGATAATCAAGAAAATACGAAAATAGGGTGGGGTCATTAAAAAATCTTCTTCTCAAGAACCACTGGGCCAGAAAAGCTGAAATTTATGTGGAAGCATCCTGGGGTAGTGTAGATATTAAATTGTTAAAATCATGACCCCCAGGGGTAGGGCGGGGCCACAATAGGGAATCCAAGTTTTACATAGAAATATATAGAACAAATCTTTAAAAATCTTCTTCTCAAGAACCACTGGGCCAGAAAAGCTGAAACTTATGTGGAAGCATCCTTGGGTAGTGTAGATATTAAATTGTAAAAATCATGACCCCCAGGGGTAGGGCGGGGCCACAATAGGGAATCCAAGTTTAACCTAGAAATATATAGAATAAATCTTTAAAAATCTTCTTCTCAAGAACCACTGGGCCAGGAAAGCTGAAACTTATGTGGGAGCATCCTTGGGTAGTGTAGATATTAAATTGTTAAAATCATGACCCCCGGGGGTAGGGCGGGGCCACAATAGGGAATCCAAATTTTACATAGAAATATATAGAACAAATCTTTTAAAAATCTTCTTCTCAAGAACCACTTGGCCAGGAAAGCTGAAACTTAAGTGGAAGCATCCTTGGGTAGTGTAGATATTAAATTGTTAAAATCATGATCCCCGGGGGTAGGGCGGGGCCACAATAGGGAATCCAAGTTTTACATAGAAATATATAGGAAAAATCTTTAAAATCGTATTCTAAAGAACAACTGGGCCAGGAAAGCTGAAACATAAGTGGATGCATCCTGGGTAGTGTAAATTTCAAATTGTTAAAATCATGACCCCCGAGGTTAGGGCGGGGCCACAATAGGGAATCCAAGTTTTACATAGAAATATATAGAACAAATCTTTGAAAATCTTCTTCTCAAGAACCACTTGGCCAGGAAAGCTGAAACTTATGTGGGAGCATCCTTTGGTAGTGTAAATATTAAATTGTTAAAATCATGACCCCCGGGGGTAGGGCAGGGCCACAATAGGGAATCCAAGATTTACATAGAGATTTATTGAACAAATCTTTTAAAATCTTCTTTTCAAGAACCACTAGGCCAGGAAAGCTGAAACTTATGTGGAAGCATCCTTGAGTAGTGTAGATATTAAATTGTTAAAATCATGACCCTTGGGCGTAGGGCGGGGCCACAATGGGGAATCCAAGTTTTACATAGAAATATATATAGAACAAATCTTTTAAAAAGATCTGCATCACCCAAGTTACTCAGGTGAGCGATGTGGCCCATGGGCCTCTTGTTATTACTTCTTTGAATCACAAGCATTTTTATCAGGTGGATATTGCAGTTCATTTGAAATTGTGCAGTGATTGTAGTGAGCAATAATAAACTACTGTTTAATTGATCACAATGTAGAGTTAACACAGTAGATCATCTTACCCAGATATTAAAACTCCAGTATATATCAGAACAACAATCAACTATCCCCAGCTGTAACTGTTTTTTGTTCATAATAAGATAATGTCAGAGATACTGTCTATCATCTTTCTAATTTTAAGTTTAAATATCATGATTGGAAATTTTTATGATGGCTTTTCATTTTCCAATCAAAATAAAGTGATGTTAATTAACATATCATGCATCAATGCCTGTAAACTTTTTGTCAAGTTTGAGCAACCATTATTATTTTTTCTTTCCACCAGCTTCGAGGTTTGAGTTTTGGATATTCGGCTTTTGGAAGTTTATTGATGTGGAGCGCAGTGTGTTAACGGGACCCGCGATGAGGTGTTACCATTCCACGGAGCTGTGTAACGTCTGGGATAAAGACTTTGTGGCAGCCCTATTTAATTTCGCCCAGACCTTGCATGCTCTACAGATGACAGACATGGAGATTGCTTTAGTCCGCTGTATTTGTCTAACTTACACAGGTAAATATATATATCAACCAGTTTACTTTTATAACAACAAGTACATATATTTCATTTCATTATATGAGGATAGAATTTGGTTCAAAATTAAAAAAAAAATTGTTTTGTTGTTCGCACCTTTTGTTTACATGAAGAGTATAAAAATATGTACTTAAGCCCAAAATAAATATCTTGATTAACTATTGATATCATTAATCTAAGAGATATTCTTGGTCATCTTTATATATCCTTTGACAGGAGAAATTAACTTGAATTTATATCTTAGAGTTGAAAATAATTTATTGTATAATTATGATAACATCTTTTAATTTGTTATGAGACTGTATATTTGCATTAAATTAAATTATTAAATTTTAAAAATTGTAGATCGGTGTGAATTGAAAAGTCCAGAAAAGGTAGAAGAAATCCAGTTGAAAATGATCATGTGCCTTAAGTATTTGGTGGAAAAAAATCATGCAAATTCAGAACATTTTCTGTCCCGAATACTGGACAGGTTAGCAGCCGTCCGAAATCTGACAGATTGGAGCCAGAAAATAGCACAGGAAGTCAAACTTGATTGGCCGATTCTACAGAAACACCCCCTCCTTCTGGAGATGATGTCTATGTGACCCGTAATAAAACTGTCTTACAGTAGCCCCAGGAATTCAGAAAACTGTGAAGGCTGTGTAAATAATTCAGAGTTTGTGCTACTGTGTTCTCTCTCTGTTTTTCACCCATTTTAAACATTCGATCCTGGCCACATTTTCATACAGTTTATAAAAGGTTTATTTCCAGCACAGAGGTGAGTATTATTCATTACATGCAATGATAGTTCAATTCATAGTGATGCATAAATCATTGTTTGTAATGTGACATGTTGTTTTCCTGTTTAAATTATTTCTGAAGTTTAATACTACTTAGAGCTCAACATGTTTAAGTTTGCTATCATTTCCTCAGAATACTCCGTCACTTTGTATGAAGATATTCTGTAGAAGATTTCTTTAGTATTGTACTGACAGGGTAATGTTTCTATCTTGGTATATACAGTGTTGATATTTTATTGTTTCACTAGTTTTTAGATGTTGCAAACTGTGATAACAGTTTTTTTAAGGACCGTTGTTACAAAAATGAAACTTTTTAAGTCTGAGACAAAATTTTGTACATTTTGTCAATTAAATGAGTTGATATATATTTTTCAACGTTTGGTAACTTATTCTCCCCCTTAGAGACAAAAAAAAATAGTCTAACATTTAAAGAATCAAAAGGGAGATTAATGTAACTGCTTAAATTTACAGTGGTATTGGAACTCTTCAGTGTACAGAATACAGAGAGTCCTTAAGAATGAGTTTAATTTAAACTCATTGTAGTTGTGATTGTTGCTTAAGAAATGCATTAATTAGCTTTAAATCAAACTTGTTTGTAGATTACATACACATTTTTATCTTAGATGCAGATTTTATTGAGCCTTCCTCGTTAGATATACATACATGTATTCTCAAGAAATATTTCTGTTTTGTTTCTGAAAGTATATTGTATTATCTATGAATAATTGTTTACTTAAAAAAGAATATAAGAGCTGTTGTATGAAGGGATAGATATTACCAGAGATAAGATAGATACATGCCTTTTGCTACAGATATTTTACAGAGCTAGCTTAATTTTTGAAGCTGCAGTGTACATTTATTGTGTTCTTTGATGGATGTGCGAGTGAAAGTGAAATGCTGGCCGTTTTTTTTCCCTATAGTATCTCATGAAATATGCAAGTTCACTTTATTTGCATTCAAGTTTCAGTTTAAATTTCAACTGGAGTTTTAATCAGCTTTACTTAACTTATGGCGTTGTTCTGCAGAAAATGAATTACATTTATAATCAACGTATTGCTTCTCTCTCAACGTGAAGATATATTTTCTGTAGTATATGGATTTTCATTGTTCAGATGTCAAATACCACAAGGTGATCACAATTTATAAGAAAAAAGACAAGTTCCGTATGATAAAATGTATGTATAGAGCTTATATTTGATAGTTAACAAAAAGTGTTACGTTGGTGAGCATGCTGTGATAATCTTCTTATGGGTGATGAGAGAAATTTGTTGTCACTTTTCACTTTACTATAATCATGTGTTTTATTGTATATATGTTTCCCCCTCCCCCAAACAGAATAATGAATAATGAGTGGGTGTATCACATACACAAGATACACAGGTATCGTAATGATTCATGGCTACTGTGTAGTGGTTAACAAATTAATCAATTCTTTTGATTACTGTAGACGGACTTTTTTCCACAGGGTCATACCAGTAATTCCACGGGTAATTCCACGGAATCTCAATTTTTGTTTAATCCGCGGGTAGAAAATTATGCGGATTTCTTAGATTGTCACTATATGCCTTACATTTACATTATGTACGCTTGAACAAATTTACGCGGAAAATTTGTGACCGCGTACATAGCGTAAATTAATACCACGTGGAAAAATGTACTTCTACAGTATCTAAATACACAATTTACCATGATTATGTTCAAATTTGAAGAAATCTTTCACAGATGTTTTAATTAAGTCAAACTGAATTCAATTTCTTGTCCATTGTAAAACTGTGGTCTGGTTATTAAAGATTTCAAAACATGATGGGAGTCTTCATTCATTTCAAAGTGTTGAGTACTTATAATAGAACATGATTTAAAAAGGTTCTGTGTAATATGTGGTGGCATTGAACAGAGATCAGAAAAAAATAAGCCATGGTAAAGTGTTTCTTTGTCCATCTGTCCATTTGTAATGCGCAATATGAAAATTTGTATCAGTGTATTAGGTTTGATGAAAATACATTGAATAGTTTATCCAAATCTGAGCTTGATGCAAAATAAATAGTTAAGTCCAAGGTCAATGACATAGTAAAAAAAAGGGACTCAATTGATACCGATAAATTCTCACCAAAATATGTCATAGCATAAGCTTACATAAAAATTTCTGGGATAATTTTTAAGAGACTTCATGGGTCAAACCCAAATTAGAGAAAATTGAAGACAAAGTCCATAAGGAAACTAGAGTTTACAAATGTCAGATAAAATTTGATTGGCTCCCCTCAATTTATCAACCTCTGAAGTTTGATAAAAATATCTTGTTTTGTTTCTTTTGAAACCAAGTTAAACACAAAATTGCAGATAATGATGTTGTTGTCAAAGGAAAAGTCATGGTAGAATGTTGATGCCTTTGAATAGCTCTTATCAATGTATATTAAGCATTTTTTAAAAATATTGCCTTTGAATAGCTCTTATCGGTACATACATGTATTAAAAATATCTAATTCTTTGAAATTCTAAAATAAATTCGTAGAAATTTAAACGCAAAATTAATGGCCTAACAATAAATGTTAGTCAGCATTTGACCTAATGATAGGTTGCATTGGCTGATAAGGTTTTTGTATGGACCATAGAACTTGCGAAATGATGACTTCAAACGAGTCTGTTGACATTCTGGTTTCATCAACTTGTTTGTTAATAGCTTGCCTCTTATACAAACTGATCGTACTTGGAGCAAGCTCTTACTGACGCTAGAAAAGTTTGTCATGATGTTTAATCGTAAAGATTTGTTAGGTTAACATTTACTTTTTTCAAAGTAAAATATCCAAAAATGAATTAAATGAATCAGCATATGATTATCTTGAATAGTTTCTTTAAAAAAGAATTACAGAAGGACAGATGGAGGAGAGAAGATCGGAAGACGGACACGACAACCACCATATACTGCAGTGTATGCCCCGGTCATATTTCTGGCGGGGCATAAGAACAGTTGTTCCTCTGCCCTAGGGCTTTTGGTGCATTTGACAAATGTGGAATATGTTAAGTAGAGCGATGTGTATTATTCTCTATAAATTCACATCTTTTAAGCTTGTTCTATTATCGCCAAGGCTGAAAAAATATTCACGTTACCGTAGAAGTATATATACAATTTAACGTCTTTGTGACTGATAATTGTGATAATTTAAATTAAAAATATGCATGTTACCACTTTGTCTAAGTATATTATTTGCTAACCTTTTGTTTAATTTTTGCCTTATTTCCCGAGTAAATGCTCAAGGCACAGGTGCCCCAATACAACATATTATGTACGACAAAAATGAGACTCTTTAGGTCTTGTTAAGAGAATGTGATAATTTGGTAGACAGGTATTACAAATAAAAGATATCTAACGAATGTAACATTTAAAAATCCCATTAAAAAAATAAATCACCTTCTTACTTGAAGATGAATCTTTATAAAAATGTGCGCTAAAAATTTTCTCATTCATTTAAGGATTATATATCGTATTTGTCGACGGATTTTTCCGATCATGACGAGGAGCTCACGGCAGATGTGTCCGGTCGGCAGAAGATGCTCACACCTCCATGGCACCTGATCCCTCCCTGATGTTTTAGAGGTCCGTGTTTGCTCCTGATATGTACTGTTTAATGGACTTTTGAGCTTGAATACTGTTCGTTATATCCATATATTTCACGATACATGTTTTGATTGATATATACAAGTAAATACAATGTTTTTCTGAACCCAATTTGTTTGATTTGATCCAAATACATATATATTTTTATACTTTCCATGTTATTTTGTCAATAATTTACCTCGTTTTAGAAATTGTTCATACGTAGAGCATGCTTTTGCGTATCGAATCAACTGAGATACATAAACTCCGTATGCAGGTGATGAAGGTATATTGCTACATAAGTAAGGAATGTTGATAGAAAAGTTAAAGCCATCACATTTATCAAAGAGCTTGAATTTTAGATTACCATTAATGTCTTTTTCATAATAATTGTTAGTCAATCATATTATATTTTTATACACTGAAATGACGACGGATTTTCCCGTTATTTCCCAATCATGACAAGGAGCACATGGCGAGTGTGACCGGTCGGCAGGGGATGCTCACTCCACCATGGCACACGATCCCGCCTCTGATGTTTTGGAGGTCTGTGTTTGCTCTGCTCCTCTTTTGTATTGTTTTATGTACTTTTGATCTTGAATACTGTTTGTTTTCTCCAAATGTTTCATTGGAAGACCTGGTCTCCAAAAACAACATAGATATTGTCTATCAGAAACTCAAGCATCTTTTTGATGTCAACTTCAGAGTACATGTGTGCGCAATCAGAAGGTGTTTTAACAAAATAATTTTGCAAATGACCGATGACAAGATAAGTAAATTTACGAGTTCCATTTTTATTGGAAAAGCAGCTGTCAATGAAATCAAAAAGCCTGGACTTAAATTTATCGTGGGGAATGGTTGTGTATAATGTTGAAAAGTCAAAGTTTTAAAGCTTTTGATTTTGGTAAAATCTTGTGATTTCAAATTGTTTATTTGAATTGGAAAATTGGAAATTTTTATTGGAAAAGCAGCTGTCAATGAAATAAAAAAGCATGGACTTACATTTATCGTGGGGAATGGTTGTGTATAATGTTGAAAAGTAAAGCTTTTGATTTTGGTAAAATCTTGTGATTTTAAATTGTCCAAAAGTTCCTTGGAATTTTCAAGTATCCACACCTGATTTACACCACTTCTTGAATATGCTGTTGCAAAGTACTCCTGAAATTTCTTCTTCACTACATTTAATTACTTATTGAGGAGTAAAGAAAGAAGCTTGGTTGAACATTTACTGGAACCCGCTATGTATATTTGTAAGGATTTTTTTATGAAGTTTCGGAATCCAATATAGATATGGTTGGTTCTTTGGAATATATATTCAAAATATTAAAAAATGACATATGAATTTGAAGAATTTTTTCCTTAGTAAGGGAACTATGAATATAAGTTGGATTACCGCTTCTAGAATTAAATCCAAGTTCTTCTAAAATACAATTTATATAACATGTATAATGAGCCTTACAAACGAAGACAATGTTGTTACCTGCTTTGTCAGCAGGGACCAGTACCTACTGATCATGTAATCTATATCTAATTCTTTTGTCACTTCTGGATTATTTAATACAGAAGGATAGATGGTTTTCATATTGCTCCTCAATCTTTTAACTTAAAACATGGTAGATGTTGAATACAAGGCTCGACCCTTTGACGGACATACAGACGGACAGACAGACACCCCGATTACTATATACCCTCCAACTTATCAAGTGGGGGTATAAGAAAAAGGTCTTACATACAAAGACGATATTGTTACAAGTTTTGTCTACTGGAACCAACATGGGTGTGACGGTCAGCAGGGGATGCTCACTCCTCCGTGGCACCTGATCCCATCTCTGATGTTTTGGAGGTCCGTGTTTGCTCTGCTTTTATTTTGTATTGCTTTATGGACTTTGAGTTTGAATACTGTTCGTTATCTCCATATCCTTCGATTATGTTCATGTATGTAGTTATCTAATTCTTTTCTAACTTCCGATTTAGTGAAAAGTAAAGAATGGATGGTCTGCTTATAACTTTTATTTCTGTCACGATTCTTTGATATATATTTATCTATTAATCTATTCTGACAAAATGAAAACCTATCTTTCAATTAGCCACAGAACTCAATTTCCATTACAGTATGCCAGATTTTGGGTTAAATATGACGGGTCTAAACACTTTGAATCAGAATATTTTTTTCTGCTAAAATCCGGTGACGTAAAAAATCTTCGCTGGCCAACATTTATAATTATCCAAGTATCCAAGTATGGACTTGCTTATGTCTTTTTAAAAATTCAAGGGAACCAAAAATAATTTAGTGCGAATATGGTGAAGACAATTTGTCTAATGAGGAAAGGCCAAAGTGAAACAACACATTTACATTAACTCATAATGCGACGAAAGAATCCCTACAAAATTAATATTAAATAAATGTAATACAATACGATTATTTACGAGTTACATATAAACAAGTTACTCAAGATATGACGTCCTTTAGGATCAGTAGAATTTTAACTCCCCATTTCACGAACTAAAACTGATATCTTTCTCTTCAAGAGAGATAACCCTTTTTGGCTCCATGGTTTTGCTCACAAGAGATAGCTGCTAAAAAGTAATTCCAGTATGTGGTACGTATACATATCATACAATTTTAAGGAAGATCTAAACAATAACAAAAAGTGTCTTTTGGACTTGGAGAAAAATATATCATATAAAGATGTGCATATTGAGACTATCTGATTCATTTTCAACATAGAGTACATGCCGTAATTCTACAGGGAAATGTTCAAAGACAATGGACTATGCATGAACAGAAACACTGGTGTTTACTTACATTGGGGAAATAATGGAAGTAATGAATTCAATTACCCATTCTTTGTCTAATATAATGCTAAGCATATTTTAGTCCATTACAAATTGTGCAATTAACTGTAAATAATTATTTTTACTATCTGACACTTCTAAGGACAGATCACTCTTAAACAGCATAAAACTACCCAACAATTAGAACTTTAAAGTATGCAGTGTTTAGAGCTTCCATAATCCAAGGTGTAGTATGCTCGAAGATTTTAACAGATGTCTTAGATAACTTTTTATTAAGATTTTGCGAAACATTTATTGATTATGAGATATAAATTAATTTGACAACAAGATTTAATACAAATAGTGGAAAAAAACTTATTGACTTCTATACACTGGGTTACATGTATGTATTAAATAAATTGTCAATGGCAGAGACG